AAAACACTGAATCATTATATGAATTTCTTATGATAAACATGCAATGGGATACTTAAGTAATAAGTAAAGAATTTTACCCCAAACAATACTCAGATCAATAAACTGAAAATTTTAGAGTGAAATTTTGCCTCTATCTTCAAATGAACACATTGAAATATCCTGTAATTGCATTTCTGTTGTATATGAAAAATACCACACTGTGTTTCCATTCTAATGAGAATGTGAGTAGTTGACTTGAGATACCTTGTTATTTTAAATACAAAGATAAATTAAGGGAAATAATACTTAATGTAAACATTTATTAAAAATGAATACATTTTACTATACTTTAGGATATTTATCCTCTAACTTTTAAAATAATATGACTGGATAATGTGTTTAACAGTAGCAGATGCACCCTATAGGTAGCTAGATACACATTGCTAGCTCTGTTCAAGAGCAGTTACATACATATTATAGTTTTCTTTTAACAATCAAATACATAATGGTTAAATTTTGTCAAACTAATTGAAGAATTTATTAAGAAACCTCTTAAGTTCTATCACCCTCTTTGAATTCAATAAATAACCTCCTCTGTGTAACCTAAACTTATACTTGAATTGATTCTTGTTTATTTCATGTAGTTTGAAATGTCATCTCATCTTTGGATTAATTTGAATGTGTTTACTAATTCATATGTGGTTAACAGTAAAACTATCATTCAAGATACTTATCAATTAATGTTAATTATAACAGCTATATTATTTCAATGGTGATACATATTTAGTTTATTATCACTCTTCTGAAGACTAGACAAGGTTAGTTTTTGTGAGAAGTCCTGATTCCAGAGCACAGCGTAGTTAGAAATCCAAGAACATCTGAAATGCCTGCTGTGTTTCCTTAAAGTGTTGCACGTGGAGGAAAAATTTCAGACCATCAATTAAAGAATATATCAGGGTCTTTGGACTTTTTTTAGTGTTTAGCGAACTTAGTCTAAGTTGTATATTTGACTAAATCCCCTCATAGATACAGGTGGTATATAAGTAAACATTTTAAATGGACCCAAATCCTACACATTTCTTCTGTAAAGTTAAAAATGTATATAGACAAATGAGAGTAGTTTTAGAAAGAGTAAGTTACCCTGACATTAAAAAAGGGAATTTCTTAAATGAAGTGAGCACAGTTATAACCCTGTTCTTTTCCTAATTTCTGTAATATTCAGTTGTGTATATTTTATTATGCATAATGAGTAAGTACACATACAACCTTTTCTAAAACTCTCAAACAGATGCTTTTGTTCACATAGCAAATATAATTTATGAAGACATGCCCACCTATAAGGAAGTCAACTGCCCACTTTCTTTGAATTCATTACTACATACCTCTGACTTTCTTATTGAAACTTCCAGGCATTTTTCAATAAAGACTCAGTTATAATCTAGTGCACGTTTTCCTTTTAATATCAAATATCGTATTAAGTAAACTCCTTTCTTCTCATTGTCTTTCAACTCTTTCCTCTCTTCCCCAAATGATATAAAAAGTTCTTAGTTAACAACTTACATTAACAAGAGTGTCACCTTTCCAAGATTTAAGTGAATTTGTGTGTATTTAACTTTACAAAATT